ATGGGAGACATCCCAGACTCAAGGTGGGAGCACAAAGCCCCCTGTTTGGGGACTGGCTGACCTGACAGAGAGGAAACACGTTGCTTGGAGGGCTTTGGGCTTGTGGGGCTTTGGGGGGATGCGCTGCTCGTTCCTGTGATGGAGAGGCTTCTGCTGTGGGATAGGACAGTGATATTTAGCTGTTCAGTAGGTGGGTTTTGCTGCTAAAACGAGTGGCTTTCGCTGCTCTGAAGGCATCAGCCTCCAGCCTTGTAGGGAAGGACGAGGAGCCTGACTCCTGAGCCTTCTACCCCACGCTGGGCTCAGCCGTCAGCCTGGCTCTGACTTCCAGCGGCATCTCCCCACCCTGATGGTGTTGCCATGTCCTGCCAGGGCCAGCTGGAGCTGCTGCGGTTGCTCTTCACTGAAGCCCTTTACGATGAACATCTCAGCAGGGTGAGTTCAGTTCCAAATAGCCCAGGAGTGTGGCAGGACCCTCCAGTTGATACCATCCCCCAGGATGGTATCAGCTTCCCCTGGGACTCTGCCCATTCCTTGTTTCCCCCAAAGCTCCCTGTGGGATTTGAGGCCCGTGCAGAGCGGGGCGCTGCCACAGGCTGGCCTGGGCTCAGCTGCTTTCTCATCTCCCTTCTGCAGTGGTTCACTCCAGAAGGCTTTCGATCCCTCTTTGCTCTCGTTGGGACCAATGGCCAAGGCATAGGAACAAGGTAATGGGACTTTCTGGGAACAAGGTAATGGGACTTTCTGGGTGCTCTTTGCAGGGCAGCAGGGATGTGACACGGAGGGGACATACAGTCTGTGAATCCACACTGTCCTGGGTAAGGGCTGGGTTCAGACGTAGAGAGGGGAGTGGAGAGGCAAACTTAAAAGCGGTTCTTCGCCTTGGCTGTGTCCAACCCTTTTTCATCCCTCTACCAGACTTTGGCGGCTCAAGAGCCACCGTGTTTAACCCTTAGATCCCCGCTGTGAGGTCCCACCATGAGCTGACAGCCCTGCGGGACTGTAACCGTGTCCCTCTGCTTCCCGACAGCTCGCTGAGCCAGTGGGTGCACGCGTGTGACGCGCTGGATCTCCCCATGCTGCAGCGAGAGGAGCTGGACGCCTTCATTGACCAGCTCTACAAGGACATCGAGAAGGGTGAGGTTCTGAAGCGACCGTGGGCAGCGTCAGGCGGTGCCGTTTGGAGGACTTGGCAGAGTTGCTGCCGCTGGAGACTTTTCCCAAGATTCAGGGACTAGGAGGGGGGGATTCCCTCTGGGAAGTGGGTGATCCCACGTCCAATGGTCTGTGCAAGCTGTGCCTGCTGCCTTTGGCTTGCTGCGTGGGTCTAATTTGTGGGCAGCATGACCTGTGGTGTCTGGAGGGCTGAGCTGGAGGGAGCCTGTGCAGAAAAGTCCCATCTTACGGGTTCAAAGACCTGTTTTATTGGGTTTTTTTGCCTGACTCGGCTGTGGGAGTACAGCACCAGGCTAGGGAGCCTGAGGGTGTAAATCTTCATGTTCTCCATCCCCTCCCAACGGGGAGAGAACGGTGCTTAGGGAGTCGCCCTCCAAAACCCAGCCCTCAAAGCAGCGTTGAGGGACTTCCCTGGGTGCTCACGCTGAACTGGGTGCGTGGAAGAGCCAGAACGGCGCTTGCAAAGCTCTGACCGCTCCCCCTCTCTGTGCTGCAGAGTCAGGAGAGTTTCTCAACTGCGAGGGATCGGGTCTGTACGTGCTCCAGAGCTGCTGTAAGTAATGCGAGGGGCTGAGAGGAAATGTAGTAGTGAGGTGGGTGATATGCTGGGCTCACCTATTCCTCTGGAGAAAGGGGTTTACGCTTCCTATCTGTGGGTGGGGTGGGGTGGGATGGACTGGGATGGGGTGGGTGCTGCCCTGGAGCCCGGCTCTCTCCTGGCATCTCGCCTGGCTGTGAAACTGTCACTCCTGGCTGACCAGTGAAAAGACCATCTCCAACCTTATTTGAGTAAAATGGAGCTGAACAAACCATTAAGGGGGAGGGAGCCTTTGGTGGCCAGGCCATGGGGACATAGGGCAGGATGTCCCAGCACCCAGAGCTGTCTTCCACTCCCAAGCGTTAATGGCAGATCAGGGACGAGCAGGGCCTGGGGCCTGGCTGCTGGGAGAGCTGGGAAGCGAGGGGAGAGCTACAGCCCCACACATCCCTGGGGTTCATCCGGGGCAGCTCGTGCTCTCGGAGTGGTTTCGGTGGGTCTGACAGACAGCCCTGGCCCTGTCCCCTGCCCTGCTGGACCCCACTTTGAGTGGAGAATGTCGTGCTGGCGTTCCTGAGGCTGTGCTGTTGTGCTGCCCTGTCCTTTTCCTGGCCTTGGCCCTCCCAGTTGGTGACACTGGCACAGCGCTGCACCGAAGGGCAGGCACAAGCCCTGCAGACCGTCTCCAACCCTGGCTCTGCCTTCTCCTTCATCTGGAGATGCCCTCAGAGCCACGTCCCGTCTTGTCCGCAGGTAACCACAGCTGCATCCCCAACGCTGAGACATCCTTCCCAGAAAACAACTTCCTCCTGCACCTGACAGCTCTGGAGGACATTGAAGCAGGAGAGGTGAGGCCGTGGGGC